AAGTCACCCCACGGCAATGTGTGATAAAATGCAACTGATGGTGAATCACTTTTTTTTTTTTTTTTTTCTCCAGATTCGGAAACATCTTCAGCTTGTGAGAGCTATAGTTGATGAGCGAAAGTTCAACGTTATGACAACAGCAAGTCAAACTAAAGAGGATGACAAGTAGCAGAGAGTATAAGATCCAAGCTCTGGTGATGTTTATGTACTGAAAACAGCCAGATATGCCTTTAAGCTAAATAAAAATCATCATCTGACCACCCTTATATATATATATATATATATATATATATATATATAATTATTTGTTTATTTTTTATTTTTTTCATAAAAAATAAATCATTAGGTCCATTAGAGGTTTCGTTGCTGGAAAAATAAAATAAATGCAATGTAAATTAAATGTAAAATAAATAAATACAGACAACATTTTGACATTTAATTTAGTTTAACTTGATGTACTAAAACAACTAAAACTGAAATAGAAATGAATAAAAACTACAGATATATTTTTTTAAACAAAAATGACAAAAACAACAAAATTACTAAAACTTTAATTCAAATTAATGTAAAAGCAGACACTATATTAAAATAAAATAATTTGAAATATTGACAAAAGCTATAATAGCATTTCAATGGTACTAAAATAACTGCATAATGCTCTCAAGTTTCTCCATTTTATTATTGTTATTATTATTTTGTTCTGTTAAGCATCTCCCTTTTATTTTTATTATTCTTTTTCATCTGTTTCCTTTAATTGGTGTATGTTTTTAATTGTGTGTGTATATTGATGCTTTGGCAACTTTGTGTGAAAACCAATCATGCTTATAAGGCACTTTGAAAACTCAAAATTCTTGAGGTATTGTCACTCCTGTGGCTTTCTGAAGGAATAAAACACTTTGCACATATTCACTTATTTAATTGAACTATTAACTATATGTAACACTGTTCATTTATTGAATTCTACTAATAATGTCTGAATGTCTGCATGCAAATACCACTGGAGAATTCTTTTTTTTTGTGAGAAAAAGGAAAGGAAAGGAAAATCCAACAAAACAACAAGAAAGAGACAAAAATCATAGCAAAGGATAAATAAAACTAGAAACAACAAAGCCCAAGATCTGCCCAGGGTCATGAAACAAAAGAGAGAAAAATGTTATGACAATAATAAAAACAAGTAATAAACAAAATAATACATATCGAAAGGAGAAAATAAGATTATTACAGTAATTCTGATTTTTTTTTTCTGAAACATCATAAACAATTTCACTACATTGACATTTCTATCGCATGCGGTGATCTGCTGTGTCCGCTGCTGTCCTCCTGACCGACAGAGGGCGCACATGCGCGTTATAATGCCATCAGGTCCCAGAGCGTCAAGTAGTCAACTCAACACCTGTAACAGCTAATTCAAAACATAACGACGCCAGCTCTCCTTTCCCATGGAGTATTTTTGACAATGCACCGGTAACTCAAAATAATTCATATTTGTCAACATATCAAAGGACCTGCGTTAATTACGAATATTTATTTTGTTTCAGTGTCATAAAAATGACTGGTCTGTTAGCCAGCTAGCTAAATAGCTCACTTATTCTTTTGTGCAAGCTTCGTGTTATAGTACATCGCACTGTGCAAATAATTGTGTAGGGTATCCTATATTTCAGAAATTAGTCAACTAGCTAGCTGCTAAGTCTGCCTGTTTTTAACAGCGCTGTTATATTCAAATACACATTTGAACGTCATATTTACATTTTCACTTTCGACTGTTTGCTTATGCAACAAAAGCTTTATTTTCTTGGGACGATCTACTTTAGGACTGCGAAGAAGTCTTAATGCGCTGTTCGGTTAAAGTATGTAAAGAACCGGTTTCCCTGGCTGGACTGACGGTGCGTGACCATGGCCTTTGGCTGTGTGTGTGTGTGGCTGCTTGAAAATAGCGACAGAGATATTTTTAACAGCCTGCTGTCAGATATGTGACTTGTGTCAAATGGTGTCGTTTCATAGTTATGTAAGGTTTAGATTCAGAATGCCTGGCCGTAATGTCACAGAAAACACAGCACTCCAAGTAACGTTACTGGGGGAAAAAAAAGTGTAGGAACAAATAGGACTCAAGATAATTTAACAAGATAATATAAAGAAACATTAAGTAACACATTAAATAAAAAGTGACATTTTGAAGTAGGAAACCATATTTATTTATTATTATTATTTTTTACAATTTGTTTCAGTCTAGTCTCATATCAGGTCCAGGTCCCAGTTGTTGAAAAATCTGAATAAGAGTAATCTGGTTTTGGAAATTCAATGATTTGCTGTTCAGGAACAGGTAATCTGTTTTATTTTTCTGCTGTTTTTTAAAGCAAAAACCTGATCCAGATAATAAACTTTTCCAAATTACCAAATCCGGATTACCAGTGCTATAATTGTAGATGTAGGTATGTATATAAACAACAAGAGGTAGAATAATAAACACAGGGTCACTTTGTGTTTTTCATTTTCAGGTTTTTTTAAAGAAAATTAGGCTTCTTGGAACTGTAAACGGTTAACCCTAATGCTGTGCTGAAAATCCTTTACCATGTAAACATCTCATTATGCTGTATGTCACCAAATCTTGGGTTCAGTCTTTTTGTCAACTTCTTTTCATTCGATTAGCACAGGTTTTGTATTTATTTTTAAAACTGGCCTCATTGGTCTGAGCTGTTGCACCTCCATTTTTGAGTGAAGGAAAGAAAACATTATTTGTGGATGATTTTGGCAATGTTCTCTCAAAAACTAAGGTTCATAAACTCATTACTGCACAATCAGTGAGACCTACGATCAATCAGTTCCAAAAATTGTTAAATGTTTTTTTTTTTTTGAGAAGTTGTAATACACTGTGTGAGTAAAGTTAGTAGGTTTTAAAATCCAATGTGATAACATTAACTAGCATTTTTGGGGTGGGGGCTGGGATCCTCTCCGGGTCAAAATGACTGGAACACAGCATAAAAAAACAAATCTAGTGCAAAATATAAATGTGTGTATACACCATGTAGCTAATACTAATGTTCGTTAACCAATTTAAAGTTTTGTTACATTTTATTCCATCCATGAATCCACCCTTCTGATGCAATCAGGATAATCCAGATTTTTTTGTGTCTCAATACTTCTAAAATGTTTTGAGCAACATTATACGATAGTGAAGGTTTAATTAGATTTCAGCACCTTTTTTTTCCAACCCATTACCAAGATTTGATCCAATCCAAATGCCGAAATCCAATTTATTTGGAATATTATGGTCGCGACGATACTGAAATAATCTATTTTTGTGATTGCAGGGAGGTTACAGATGTAGCTGGGGTCTGGCAGCTATGACCATGGTGCTGTGCTGGGGTGGTTTGTTGGTGTTGGCGGCCCTATCCCGGGCCCTGGGCACTCTGCAGCATTCAGAGGAGCCTTCTATGCCAGATGAATGGGTCCTGCTTCATGTCGTGCAAGGCCACATTGGGGCAGGAAACTACAGCTACCTGCGTCTCAACCACGAAGGACGCATTATCCTGTACATGCAAAGCCTTAAGGGAGATGCAGATATCTATGTCTCTGACAAGACGCTGCGGCCAAACTTTGATACCTACAAGCTTCAGTCTACCACCTGTGGCCAGGATGTGGTGATCGTCCCGGGGGATTTTGTTAGGCCTGTTGGAATTGGAATCTACGGACATCCATCCTACATGGAGAGTGAGTTTGAGATGAGGGTGTTTTACGACCAGATGGCACATACAGAAGAGGAAGTTGAGAAAAACTCTTATTCCTCAGATGAGACTCCTGGACAGTCTCAACACTCTCAGGGCCCTGAGGACGGGATGGAAGAAGAGGAATCAATCCTCTGGACTATTCTAATTGGGATTCTTAAGATCATACTTGAAATTTTGTTTTGATTTTGATGTTCCAGCTGCCAACATAACACATTTGCCACAATTAAAAATGTTTCTAATTTAGAACAAATCAGCAGTTTTTTTTTTTTGTTTGTTTTTTAGTTTTGGCAAAGAACTAGAAATACTTTGCCTGGGGTTTTGTTTAAATCTTGAGTTGCACCATCACCACTCTATAGAGAATATGTTCATTTCTTCTCAAATTTGAATATGCAAATTATACATTTGTTTGTCAAATTAGATGGCATATAAGCACAATTGATTGCACTGATTGATATGTCAAACACAAATTCTCTTATATTTTATTGATGGAGTTTAAAAAATCTTTTGTGTGGTGCATTTGTTTGTCTTTTACTGACCTGGGGATGTGAATTCTAAGTTTTAAACTGCACTATGCAATCACACAAATCACCTTGTTACGAAGGTTGTAGGCTGTGCCTATTGTGAAGACAAGAGTCTGTTGACTAATAAGCCGCAAAGACTTTTCTGCACCTGTAGTTGTATGATACAAATAAAACCACTTATTTTTGAAAATTGCTGTGTCCAGCATTACTTAGAATTGTTCAACTTTTTTTTATTGTGCAAATAACAAGGTGGGGTTTCCATTACCAAAATTGCTGTGCTTGGTTACTGTGTTAATATGGTATGGTATTTTATGAATACTTAATTAGATACAGCTGTATTAACATTTTTAGTATTAGCGTCTCTTTTTTTTCTTCTTTTGTCTCTTAACAATTTAATAAGTGTCATTTTGAAATTGTTTTAAAACTTGAGGGATGGATATTACAGTTACAATAATGTACCTCTGTAAATACTAACAAATGACAAATTTAATGATAATAAAAATAAAACATAAAAAAAAAAAAGAATGAATACAAACATGTTATGAATAATGTTTTTTTATGTGTGGGGCCTGTTTGCATTTTAAAGATGAGCTCTTTTTATGCTTTATTTTCATCGAATGTACAATAATGTAAAATTTTTTATCTCTATATATGTTTACACATATAACATCAGAACAGCATGACATTTCACAAACAGTACAACAGCCTGACAGGGAACCCAAACATGTAAGAAGCTGAAATTATAACCGCGGTGCTCTTATTTATTTTAATTAGCCCTCATCATGTTTCGTGCTACGTTAGTGATATGTGGAAGAACGGTTGTTAAAAGGGTAAGTAGGCGCATTGGTTTTTGTATTGCGGGTAATAACCATTCAATATAGATGCGTGTGAATATGATACTGGTGGTCATGCTGGAGGAACACATTGAGGAGTTAACCCATGTATTTTCTCAAACCAGCTCATCTCATCTGTCTCTGGAGAAAACGCACTTCCATCTAATTTGCGACTTCCATCCAATCTCATTGGAGTCGGGCGACAAAGTAAGCAAAGCTTTCTTATTAAATAAGTAAATATTACTCAGCATTATTACTCTATATCTGCAACCTACCGTAGTTACAAAACTGCTGCCAGAATAAAACTGAACTTTCTATTGTGATCTATAAAGCTATTCAAACAAATGACGGATGGAGAACCTACATTATTTGTTAATATTGTCAAAGGATATGACGTATCAGTGAACTAAAGATGTGTGAACTCTTGCTGCAGAGAGGGCTTCTCCGTCGGGCTCTGATCTTCCAGTGCTTCGCAGATGTGGGGCTGTTATCCCATCTCACGTGGCACCTGTCCAGATGTGGCTTGAGTCTTTGGGAAGCTGTGACAGTGAACCTCTTGGTGTGGTTGACCTACACCCTAATGTCTTCTCGGTACCTGTCAGGTACCTGTCATTTAATTCTATGAAGTATTTTTAGGCTGGAGTTAAGTTGCAAACAAATGAATATATGGTTGTTTTTGTTAATAGGCTGGAGATTCTTCATGATGTAGAGGTCTGGCAACATAATTTCAAACGAATAGTAAGTAACTATGAGGTGTACATGATGCTTTCTGGTGTTAACTTTGCTCTTGTAATGCTCATTAGAGGAATAGTTCACCCAAAAAGGAAACTTTGCTGAAAATGTACTCATCCTCAGGTTATCCAAGATGTAGATGAGTCTGTTTCTTCATTGGAACAGATTTGGAGAAAGTTAGCATTACATCAGTTGCTCACCAGTGGATCCTCTGCAGTGAATGGGTGCCGTCAGAATGAGAGTCCAAACAGCTGATGAAAACGTCACAATAATCCACAAGTAATCTACATGAATCCAGTTCATCAGTTAACATCTTGTGAAGCGAAAAGCTGTCTGTTCGTAAGAAACAAATCCATTCACTGGAAGAAGCGTTATTTTGAATTATGGTTTTGGCAAGAATGATGGTTTAAAGTTAAAACGCTTTAATGATGGATTTGTTTATTACAGACATGCAGCTTTTAGATTCACAAGACGTTAATTGATGAACTGGAGTGGTGTGGATTACCTGTGGATTATTGTGATGTTTTCATCAGCTGTTTGGACTCTCGTTCTGACGGCACCCATTCACTGCAGATGATCCACTAGTGAGCAAGTGATGTAATGCTACATTTCCCCAAATCTGTTCCGATGAACAAACAAACTCTTCCACTTGGATAACCTGAGGATGAGTAAATTTTCTGCTAATTTTCATTGTTGAGTGAACTGTTCCTTTATGATACTGTCCCAGTCATGTTTTATAAACTTCAGTCATATTAATTGAATCATTGCATATGACAGTCATTCATAATTTGATTACTGTAGAGCCATGCAAAAGTCAAATCAAGAGCTGAAGTCAGCGGTGGAGGCAGGAAACCATGGAAACAAAAAGGAAGCGGCCGAGCACGGCATGGAAGCATTCATTCTCCAATATGGAGAGGAGGTCAAATAAAGTCTGTTGATTTGAGCTTCATCTTAAACACACAGATGTATGAAACTTATCACTGCACTCACTAAAGTACTAAACAAATGCTCCTCTTTCTCGCTCAGGAGGAGTAGCTCATGGCCCACGGGGACCAACCAGCTATTATTACATGTTGCCATGAAGGTGCAAGTGCAAGGGCTGAAAATCGCCTTAACTGCCAAACTGGCTCAGGTGAGGGGAAGTGCACTATAAAAGTTTTGCTTGGTTTGGAATGTGCTGCAGTATTAATAGTATTATGTACTATTAAAATATTTTGTAATTTTTTAATACACATTTTTTCAGTTAGATGCCACAGCATCATATCTAATTTGTAATTTTTCATCTTAAGATTTATATTTTATTTCAACTTTATTCCAATTAATGGAAATAATTTTTAATAGTTTTAGTTAAAGGTGCAATAGGTGATTGTCTTCAGAAAATTTTTTTGTTACACTGGCTGAAAGTCTCGTCACATCCCGATAGCAGTCATTAAGTTAAGTGGTCTACATGTTTTTATCTGTATTTATATATTCTGTGGAAGGCGTAGGACCAAGAAATGTTCGTCCAATCAAAACACTCGGTCCGAGCGTTTTAATTGGCTTTCCTACCTGCCTGTCAACGTATGTATTAGCATACCTCTGCACACCCGGTTCGCGCAGACAGGATACGCCATCGGCGCGTTCACGCATGCTGTGCAGACAGAGCGAGAATGGCAGACAAACATCAACAACCTGATCTTCCTTCCTGGTATTGTAGTACTTTTAAAGTTTTCTCACCGGTGAATGACACATGATGTAGCCCAGCGGTTCCCAATTCCTGTCTTCGTGGCTCCCGCTCTGCATATTTTGCATGTCTCGCTTAGTTAACACACCCGATTCAGAAAACCAGCTCGTTAGAAGTGAGCTACGTGCATGAACTGTGTTCCAATCCATATGATCCCTACACAGTGTTCATTGCTCCCTACTCTCTGAGCAGGGGAAATCTGTTGAAGTTTACTTCACTTCAGAACATTCATTCACGGATTTGCGCTGCGCAGCGTCTTCACACACATCTTCACATCCAGTTGCGAGGACTGGAATTGGGAACTGCTCTGGTATTCTGGTCTGTGAGCATATATGCGTTCAGTGGGCGTGGGGACATTCACTTTCAGTGCTAGCAGGCTAAAGTTAGCATTTTCCAATATCTCCTACTGCACCTTTAACAATAACAACACTGATACACTAGTATCAGTAAGGGCAGCAAATTGGTTTTGTTCATAAAAGTTAGATGAAATGTAAACTAAGTGAAAGTCATTATTTCTCCAGGATTACCTTCATGTCGTGGAATCACTGGAGATTCCCACTCCAGACCCCCACTACCTCCTGGACCTGGTCAAACACAGGCAGTGGGGGGATTCAGTCCTCATCGTTGATGTGTAAGCATGCAGATGTGGATGCATATGTCATTGCCAACCTGATATACATATTTGTGTCCTTAAGTAAATTCTTCTTCTTTTTTTTTTTTTGCATGCATGCATTTCAGAGATGATGAATTCCCTCAAAACATTCTTAAGGCGACTGAAGATCTGAAAACAGTGAATATCATTCCAGCCACAGGTAAACAAACTGACCACACCAAAAGTTGTAATGTGAAAGCACCCTTAACCAAATATAAGGGAATGAAACCATTGCATCAAAGCTCATTCATGATCTTAATACTGATGAGTTGTGAAAACAAACATTATATTGTTTGGTTTTTACAGGTCTAAACGTCCACAGCATGTTGAAACACGAGAGTCTGGTTCTCACTCTGGAGGCTGTAACATTTCTTGAAAAGAAGCTTCTTTGGCACGATGTGCGTTACACTCCCCTGTATCTATTCAAACTGCCATACAGTGACCTGCCATGAACACAGCACAGACTTCAAAGTATTAAAATGTTTATTTCATAAAAACAAGGATCTTGAGGTCTCATTTCACATGTACAATGAAGTAAAAATGTCAATATCATGAATAAATAATAGCATTAGACATAAATAAAAGATAAGGCATAGGTGGAAGATTCTCTGTCAGGGATAAGAGATTTTTGTTGGAATAATGCCATGTGCTAAATCATGTCGGATCTCCCATCTTAGCGCAGATCGCTTCTTCTCTGTTGGAACCACATAAGTGTTGGGGATGTATGTCTTCTGAGGTCTCCGCTATAGAGACAAGAAAAAGCACTCAGAATAAGGGAATCTAGGCAATTCTTAAAAAAAAAAAAAAAAAAAGTATGTATGTATGTAACTTTCTGGTGGAGGCTGATACATAAGTTGTTCCTGAGGATAAAAACAAGAATATATTTTTTTAATAAAATAAATCAAACTATATGTATATATGCAGCTTTTAAAGCAACTACTAAAACAAGTACATGATTTATGATACCCTAATGGCCCAGTGCAGTTCCTTCCTGCTCTTCTCTCCTGGAGGTTTAAACATCTCCCAGTCCTGCTTATACTGACAAAACCTGATAAAGGATCCAAACACATTCAGAACGCATAATGATCAGAGTCTTGAATCATTTATTTAGTTTATGAAGATTGTATATTAATACAGAAGTATGCCATACTTTGCCACTGGATCAGTTTTCTTCAAGTTCCTCGTGTGAGGATGATCAAAAACTGGCCGTATAACTGTGAAGAGAATCAGATTGTAAAT